TTGTGTAACAATGAGGGTCTCCTTCCTTTACCATGCAATTTCCCTTCTCTCTCTCTTTCCCTCCCCCCTCTCATCCCTGTTTAGTGGTGATCTTCTCATGCTCTTGAGATTGATCAAGAATCATGAGGTTCAGGAGTAGCAATCTGGGTTCTTTAGAGTAGCTAACAGTTTCTGAATTCTTAATTTGTATATCCCATGAAGTTCTAAATACTTACCAGGAATTAAACTACTTTAATCCTCCCAACAAATTATCAACTGTGGGATCTTGGGCAATTTGCTTAGCCTTTCCAAACCCTGATTTCATTTCTAGAGAACGAAAGAGAGGCTTAGAAGATTGATTTGTTTGAGTTCACTCAGTGAGGACTGGAAGGGCCAAGCAAGGACCCAGTCCACTTCCTCACCACTGGCCATGGCTTCTTTTTAGAATTAACCAGACAGGCAGAGCTGGATGCTCCCAAAGGTACCCTGTAGCCCTCACATTCACTTGCACCATGTGATTCTTCTAAAACTTAAATGCACAAATGATCATGAATAAGAAATGCATGAATCCTTTTCCAAGCTACCACTCTAATCTTTGAGACTGACCCTTCAAACTAGGTGGCCTATAAATGATTTTTGAAAAGCTCATAACAACTGCTACAATGGCTTCAAATGAAGGTTCTGATGAACTCATGATCTTGAAAACATTGCTATCTATCTCTATAACAAATGTATGACTGAAAAAAAGGGTGATAAATCACAAAATAAATGATCACTACACACCAACTTCCCTTTGTGAGAAAAGAAATCAAATACAAATTGACTGAAGATCGTTTCAGGAAAAAAAATAAGCAAAAAAAAAATGACATACATTCATTTCTTAAAGAACGATTAGAAAGAAATCTTACAAGACAATTTGGCATCACCAAAACTCTGCACAACAGCCCTAGACCACGTAATTCATGACTTTAAGGATGAGAGGGGCAGAGCATGTGGCTTCGGCAAGGCTTATGTTTATAGGAAACACATGGGATTTATAGCTGCTGGATCTGAATGTGAATCCCAGCCCTGCAGTTGTCTAGGAATGTGTGGTCTTGCAAGTTACTTCAACTTATAAACCTCAGTTTCTGCATCTGCTCAAAATGGAATTACTGCCTCATGGCAAGTTATTTGATGGTACAGATAATGCCTATGATATGCTTGGACATGAAAGTTTCTCAATAAATTGTAGCTAATAATAACAAGTACAATGGTATTGGTAATTTAAAAATATATATACTGTCAGCAGCAGAGAGAGTAGGTGCTGGTTAGTACCTCAACCTGGAGTGGACCCCTTGGTTTGTATCCTTGGCTCTCCTTTCCTCGTGGCATTCATATTGTATTTAACAATGATCTCAGTTGATCTCGTTTCTCTCATACCATCTACATGCCTTTACTTTAACATCTGAGGCTCTTCCTGAGAGCAAGGTACTTCTCAGCCACACCACAGCTAAAAAGTGGAGCTAACAAATAAACTTATGATGAGGATAAATGGGTTCATCTGTGAAAGCTTAAAATCATATATGACACAGACACATTATAAGAACCAATTAAATGCTAGAAAGTGCTGTTGCTGATGTTGTTGTAATCATTTGGTGAAGGTCATTATAGAACCAGGACCAACCACCTGGATAAAAACTGCCCCATATAATGTTGGTTAATAAATTGGAAATAGAAGAGTATGAAAATTCTTGGCAGTGAACAAGTAGTGTTTCAGACTAATGGCCAGAATAATAAAACACAAGATGTTATCTCAAGGGCAAAACCAAAATTAGGTTGCAGATTATAAGGAGGTTCAATCAATTAACCGGGTAATCCTAGTAGAGACCCAGGGTTTCCAAAGTGCTTCACTATAAGAGGAGTTTGAGAATATGAAAGATTTTGAGACTCAAAGCCAAATTTTTTTTAATGATAAAGAATAATGAGGCAAGGAGAGTACATATTGCTTCTCCCACCCCCCCCCCCAAAAAAAATCCTTTTTTCCCTGTGTCTTGCCATTTTTCTAAACCCTTTTTTTTTGCCAAGGTTAGAAAAATATCATTGATCCCACTGTGTCACTTCCCCACATACCACTTAAGACATTCAGCTACCTAAACAAATGCAATGAACAACTGCCATTCTTATAAATCTTCCAAGAAACAGCTATGCAACTAGAGAATCCTGGTTTGCAAAGATAACATATAATCCTGTTGCTTTGGGTGTGGCTTTTTGCAGAGGGATGTAGGGGCTGGAATTTAAACCACTGCCTCCAATATCTCAGAGATAAGAATGATGACACTTGAGCCAGGGTGAAGAACAGGGTGTCCCTACAAGCTGTCTGGCCTTCAAACCTTCTGAAGCACCTACTACTTTGCACAGGGCCCGATAAGAGGCCAGCAGCCCAGTCAAGATCCTTTGGGTCTCCAGAAAAAGTAACAGGGAGGAACTTGAAAGAACCCACTTCAGGGTATGGGATGAGGAACAAGAGGCATGTTTTTCAACAGTTGTGAGTGGTTGCAGTGCACCCCTCAAGAACAGTAACTTCAGCAGCCACTTCATTATATTTCTACTGTAAATGATACAGGCCTGAGCCAAGTCAGCACCAAAACTCCCTACAGAATTTAGTGGAGGTTAGGTCATCTGCACTCTATTGACAACTGCTGAACTGAAAACCTCTAACAAGGCATCTCAGCAACAGTATGTGGCCTGCCACTAATGAGGCTCTTTTTCCATGAATAATGAACAAGAACATCATCTCTGTTGCCAGGTACACAACATAAACAAAGCTCAACACAGGCCCTTGATATGGTGAGTTTGTCCATTTGCAACAAAGGAATTTTTCAAAGTGTGAGCCAAGTTTTAGTGGAGGGTGGGACAGGCTGTTGTAACAAATAATACGAACATATGTTATCAGAATCTAATAAATCAGCTTTTGGTTATTGTGGAACAGAGGCTGTGCGATGGGACACAGGGAGACAATGAATAGCTCCAAATGAGTTCATTTCTTTATTTTGCAATCAGTTTTATAACACAGGCTGATGATTTCTGTAATGAACTGAGATCTTCATGAAAGGACTCTTATGAGACGTGTGATCCCCAAGGCACTATTGGTTAAACCTTTATTTCTTACGCCTTGATATATCAGGCTGAGTACTGGTCAGCAATGGGATAGGAACACTGGAATCTTGTTGTGGCATCTGGAAAAGTGCACTGCCACCTGAACCCATGGACATGGGACTAGGTTTCTTTGGTATTAAAAGAAGCTTGGGCTTGGTTGTGGCTTAGTGGTAGAGCACTGACCTAGCATGTGTGAGGTACTAGGTTCAATCCTCAGCACCACATAAAAATAAATAAATAAAATAAAGATTCATTGACAACTAAAAAAGAATTAAAAGAAGAAGAAGAAGAAGAAGCTGCTGCTCAATGTGAGGGCACTGTGGCTACAAGAAAGCCCCTTAGTTTAGGCTCTCAATCTTAGACCACTGTTCAGCAGAACAGTAAAATTCCAGCACGTAAACAGAGAATAAAAGTGAGCTGACATGAAGGCCAAACAATCTTTATTTTGTATACTTTAAAGTGTTCCACAGATACTTTTCTTTTTCTAAAATCAGTTCCATACTAGGTAGCATTTATCTTCTTACACAGGGTGTTCATGTCCACATAGCAAAAAGATGCCATCACTGGCAGAGGGCATTTAGTTCCCACCAATTTAAGCAAGAATTTGAGCAAAACAAAAACAAAAAGTCTCAAAAGGCCTCAATTCGCTCAACTGTAAGGAAAACAGCTCCAACCCATTTCAGAGATTCCTTATGAAGAATTTTGTGAAATTTTATGAAAAATAAGACCTAAATGAAAGTTTGCCCTACATGCTTGACGAATTCCTGAGACTTTGTGATCTGAAAAATTCTTTAAATGAATTAAACATGCTTACTAAAGAAAGAATATCTTATAAAACAAAACAAAAAAGATTATGCAATATAAGTAACACTCCATAATATTCATTTTACATGCAAACACATTTATTTCAGGGAGAAAGTCAACAAAATAAGACAGAATAATATGAAGTTCTGCAGAGCTTCTAGTAGTTAGGTCATGACAGGTAATTATGCAGATAATTTTTTTGTATATGGTATTAAGAATTAAACCCAAGACTGCTTTATCCCTGAGATACACTCCTGGTCCTTTTTACTTTTTTGTTTTAAGACTGGGTCTCGCATAGTTACTGAGGCTGGCAGCAAACTTTCTATCCTCCTGCCTCAGCCTCCCAAGTCACTGTGATTATAGGCATGAGCCATTGTGCCTGACTTATGCAGATAATTTATGTACAAAGAATCAAATGGTGAGTTCACAAATAATGGTAATATGAACAGAAGAGTTTAAAATCTCTAGGACGTACCAGTTAATCTTCTGGTTTTTTAAGAACAGCAACCAGAATGGTGAAGAGACTTTAAAGCCCATTCTAAAAAAAGAAATGGGGATATTCTGCTAGTGAGGAAAAGACCTAGGGTAAAACAGACAGGATTTTATCTTCAAATATTTACTGAGCTGTCACAAGCACAAGGACTACTAGCCATTCTATATTGCTCCAGACGCTCAACATGACCAACAGGTAGTGCTCACAGGGAACCAATGTGGTGCCACAGCAAGACCTCTAACAGTCAGTGCTGTCCTAGACCTCTAACACTCTGCTGCCAGCACAGTGACTCCTGACCATGAAGGAATAAAGCAGAGTGAATATAATGACCTGCTGGGGAGAGAGCACCAGGGGAGTCTGTGGGGAGGGACGGAGAGGATTGGGCACAGGCCACATGATGTTTCTGCCCCTACTAAGCATGAATTTCTAAAGATTCTATAAAACACCATCATGAAACTGGAGGTAAAATTCTTTGAGAAGAGAATTACCTAGCTGCTATGCTACTTGAAATGATCCTTTCAGTTTAGTCACTGGGACATGTCAAGAAGAGAGCGAGTTCTCAAGAACATACAAACAGCCAAGGACTCACCATCATATTTTGCTAAGACTGCCTGAACGTCAGCATATGCTTGAAGTTCCAGAAGGGCTTCTAAAAGATTTTCATGGATGTTGAACATGCTCAGAAGAGGGAACTCCTTCATTAACTAGAAAAGAAGACACCAAGGAATATACAACATGATGTTTGGATATACACAGTGAAATGATTACTACAGTCAAAACATTTTAAGAAATAAATATTTCTCTTTTTAAAAACATTTTTAAACTTTGTTTTATTAGTTTACTTTTTCATATGGTGCTGAGGATCAAACCCAGTGCCTCACACGTACTAGGCAAGTGCTCTACCACTGAGCCACAACCCCAGCCCAAATTTTTAAAAATTTTTTGTACCAAGGCTTGAACCCAGGGTCTCATGCATGCTTGGCAAGTGCCCTACCACTGAACTTACATCCCCAGTCCTTTTCTTTTATTTTGAAACAGAGATCCACAAAGTTGCTGAGGCTGACCTGGAACTTTTGAGCCTCCTGACTCAGTTGCTAGGATTACAGACATGTACCACAGAATCAGGTTTCTTATTTTTTTAAAGCTATTACCGAAGCATAATATTTTTCTAGCATAAAAGTATAATTCATAATACTGGATTATAAGTTTTCATATTATTATGTTTTAAAACCCAAATAATTTTTTTCTATTTTTTTCCTGAAATTTTAGAAAAATGGAACTCTGGCTATAGTTTAATGTGCTTGTGTGTTTCTAGAGTTCAAACTCGGGGCACTACCATGGAGCTATACCCCTAGCCCAGAAAAATGGCAGGTTTGACTTTGTGAGACTCTACTTACAGTGAAGAAAATCCCAAAAAGAAAGATTTTCATAAAAAACTGAAGAAGATGGTCAATAATGACAAAATGTTATAGAGAAACCAAATAAGGTAAAAGCTAAAAAATAACTCACAGGCTTTCCCAGATCAGTGGTAAGCTTGTTAAAAGCAGTTTGGATGAAAGCCAGAGAACAGAAGGATAAAAAATCAGGCACTATTCTTTTGAGCATCCTGGGGGGCAAAGGTAAGGAGAAAAAAGTAGAAAAGTAGCTAGAAGGTGACACAGTTGAGAGAAAATTTATCAGTAGGGACAGGGGTGGTGGTCAAGAAGGAAGTTCACAAGTTCCTGCCTGGTGGCCTCAATAAAATAGGAGTCAAGATTGTCTTCTGAAACAGGGAGTACCTGGTGGGAAGAAGTTTAAAAATAGGAGTGAATTAGTGGCTAATCTAATTCACAAAGGAGAAGAATAATTATGTGAAAATATAAGGATGGTGAAGGCCATCTCCAGGACCCAAAGAATTGCAGACCATGAATTTACAGAGGCTACCACTGCCATGGTTGTTGAGTCCCAGCTAGCAGTGGTCAGCAGTCCAGTGACAGCAAGACATCTAATGATGACGTTGAGTGTGGGCAGACCAGATTAGGTTCCATGAAAAGTCAAGGAGCAAGAGAGTTGGCTGTAATGGTGAAACAATGGTTAAAGGAATGGCCCAAACCTTCTAGGTTAGATGGAGAAGAAGTGAGGTCCAAATGGAGTTAAAATAAATAAAATTAAACTTCATGGGAAAGCAAAGATAAAGAAGAAAGGACCAAGAATTTCAGAGTAAAATCTTATCTTAGAGAAAGGTATCTCATTGTAAAAGACGATCAGATCCTTCATAAAGCACTCGTATATTTATGCTCCTCCATTAATCTCCCAAATGGATCAACTGATTTCTACTATAAAGACTTCTAAACAATTGATGATTCTTTTTTATGTCAACATCTTTAAAGCAATTATGCTGAGAGAAAAACAGGCTAATCCACTGCCATGGAGGAACTAAGTGGATGCACTGCAGGGACTTCTTCCTTTATTAGGAACATTTACCATACTGTTTTGTTTTTGAAAGCCAAGAATCATTTACCATATCTTTAAAAATAAATAATTTTCTGGAACCCCAAAGAGCATCATATTACCAGTGAAAAACACCTATCAAAAGGATCATGTGTTCATGACTGACAGTCTGAACCCCACTGAGGGACCTGCAGTATTTTCATTGTTAGTAATGGAAGTGAATGAGATGACACCACGCATTGTTGCTGTTCTGCAACCAATAAAAGTATTTCTTGTTCTGGTTTTACTTTGATTCTGGCTGACATCACCCTTCAGTTTCTTTCTCGCTAACTAAAGTTTGTTAGAATGAAAGCTCTCTGCCACTCAGCAATTGGCAACACAATAAAGGCATTCTCTAAACTGCAACATTTAAACATTTAGTGGTCTTGACCAATTCCTCAGGTAACATCAAACTTCAAGGAAACCAATCACATTCTGTAATTTTAAAACTGTATTTCCAAATATTAGTTGCTAAAGATTAAAACTTGAGTTTTATTCAAACCCAGTCAGACCCTGTGCACCAATAGGGCAGTCTCAGATAGTCTAAACAGAACTTTTGTCAGGGCTTGAGCAGCTGCTCTTTCACCAGAAGCTTGGACAGAGTATACTGTGCTCCCCCAAAATAATCACCAATGAGAGGCTTTTAAACATGAGGAAGAGCACATGTTGGGGAGTAATCTAAGTCATATGACAATTTGGAGACTTAGCTTTCTTTATTTAACATAAACAAGATGGAAGAGTGAACCTTCTGCTACCTCTATCACTCTCCTTAGCCCTTTGTAATAATCTTAGAAAACAAGCCTATGCAGCACAATTCACAATAGCAAGACTGTGGAACCAACCTAGATGCCCTTCAATAGATGAATGGATAAAAAAATGTGGCATTTATACACAATGGAGTATTACTCTGCATTAAAAAATGACAAAATCATAGAATTTTCAGGGAAATGGATGGCATTAGAGCAGATTATGCTAAGTGAAGCTAGCCAATCCCTAAAAAACAAATGCCAAATGTCTTCTTTGATATAAGGAGAGTAACTAAGAACAGAGTAGGGTCGAAGAGCATGAGAAGAAGATTAACATTAAACAGGGATGAGAGGTGGGAGGGAAAGGGAGAGAGAAGGGAAATTGCATGGAAATGGAAGGAGACCCTCAGAGTTATACAAAAGTACATACAAGAGGAAGTGAGGGGAAAGGGAAAAATAATACAAGGGGGACAAATGAATGTCAGTAGAGGGGGCAGAGAGAGAAGAGGGGAGGGGAGGGGAGGGGGGATAGTAGAGGATAGGAAAGGCAGCAGAACACAACAGACACTAGTATGGCAATATGTAAATCAATGGATGTGTAACTGATGTGATTCTGCAATCTGTATATGGGGTAAAAATGGGAGCTCATAACCCACTTGAATCAAAGTGTGAAATATGATATATCAAGAACTATGTAATGTTTTGAACAACCAACAATAAAAAATTAAAAAAAGAAAACAAGCCTATGAATGCTCTCCTAGCCTGTTACCTCCCCGCTACACCACTCACTGTAGCAGCTCTCCCCACACCTCTTCTCCATCTACTGGTCCTGTCCCACAATATAGCTGACTCAAATCCCTCTTGTGGATACCCTCCAGTCCTCTTCTTGCTTGACCTCTGCACCATTTGACAGTTTGATGAGTTTTTCCTTGAAACTCTTGTCTCTCCTGGCTTCCTTGACACCATTTTTCTCCTGGGTTTTTCCGTACAGTACTTGAAGCTCCCCATCACCTGCTACTTAGGAGTAAATTGGTTTTCAGGTTATGTTCCATTTCCTCTTCTCATAAACAGCTGATGTCTAGAATTACTTTTGTATCCAGAGACTCAGTCTTTATGGGATGGCTCCCACATACCAACATCCTGCTCCAACCTCTCTACTAAGCTGAAGGATCAATTTATAAATGATCTTCCTGACAGGTCAACCCCTGTGTCCTTAAAGGCAACATACCTAACACTGAATTGATAACTTCTCCTTCTCTAGATTAACCCTTCAAACTTATTCTTCCTCTTTGGTATTTTCTATTTTGGAGAACAGTGCCGTTAATGTGCCTGTCACCCTCTTCTACAACACTACAACCACTTTAGAAGTCCCCCAAACACCTTAATTAATATGTAAAAAGTGCTGATATCTTTCATCAAGTTCATAGAAAGCTGTATATGAAAAAAAATTAAAAAGCCTTAAGAATCAGTACCGTCTTGTCTTTTCTCTGATGTGCCGCCAATAACTTAGCTTCTGGCTTTATACTTTGTCTAAATTGCTTAAGTAGCCACCTTAGTTGGCCTGCTTCAGGTTCACCTCTATTGATTAGCTCCTTGCTAATGCAGCAATATTCAAAGGTGAAGTGATTGGACTGTGAAAGCTGTAGCCTCTTCAGTCCATCCTAGTTTAAATGAATAGACTATAGGCAGGTGAGGCATGGCTAGAGTAGGTGAATCAGTGGGGGTGTGCCCTGGATGGATGCACCTTCTCTTCATCAGCCTATCTTCCTGGATGACATGAGATAAGCAGTTTTCCTCTGCCTCACCCTTGGGCCATGATGTTCTGCCTCATCTTGGGCCCAGAGCAATGGAGACTCTAGACTGAGACCTCTGAAACTGTGAGCCCCAAACACACTTTTCCTTCTCTAAATTGTTCTTGTTAGGGCATTTTGGTCATGGCAACACACAACCTCTTTCCTATCTACCCTTCACAATGCTATCGTAAAGGCTTCTAAATATACACACTAGATCGATCATGCCCTGGAGGGCCACAGCTGTCCCACTAGACTATAGATGTGGCTAGATCCATCACAAGGAAATAATCAGATGTGAATAAAAATTTACAAATACCTTGTTTATCACATTATTTCTAATAGAAAAAAATGCAAGCATCTTAAATCTTAACCAATTATTAGACACTAAATTATAATAAGATTCATCCTCTGGACTATTACATGTAGTCAGTAGAATTTCTCAAAGAACTTTTAATAGCATGCCCAGAAATGCTGGCAAACATTTAACATTAGAAAAAACAGGATACAAACCATGTTTTGCAATTAGATCATGCTTTTCTTATGTCTTTATGCATAAAACATACTTTGTTAGAAATATACTAAAAAGTTTTAACAGTGACTATTTATGGTTGGTGAGATTAAAGATGTTTTTTTATTTCTTCCATATTTTCTGTATGTTCTATTATTTTTAGAAGCCCTTTGCATACATTAGATACA